CCCCCCCGCCGCCCCTAGCGCACCAGGTCTGCGCTGCGCCAGGACGCGAGCGCCACCCCGACGGCAGCCGAGGACGCTGAGCCCGCGGCTTCCCGGCGCCACGCACCCTTCACCTGCGCTTCCCGCCCGGGGCCCTATCCCGACCCAGCGCGCCGCCGGGGGGCACTAAGGCAGGACCGACGCCGTCGTCGCTCGCGGGCGCCCGCGGGGAGCAGGGAGAGCCAACATGCTGGCCCCGAGCAGAGCCGCCTTCCTCCTGTTGCACCTGGCCCTGCAGCCGTGGCTGGTTGCCGGGGCCCAGGCCACTCCCCAGGGTAAGTGGGCTCGAGCTGCGGCGGGGGCGACGGGCCCCGGGCCCCTCGTTCTCGGAGCCAGCCGTCCGCGCTTCCCTGGGCCGAGTAGGGGGACCAGCTCCGCGCGCCATTGGCTCCTGCGGCCTCGCTCGGCACCTCTCTGTCCCTCTGGGGCGCAAGGCAGCATACTGTGATTGGAAGCTGTGATTAGAGTACAGAATTTCTGAGACTCGATTATCCAGCATTGAGACCAGTTCCCTAACCAATAGTTTGAGGAATGCAAAACTTTTCAGTCTATGCAAAGACACGGGTTTACTTCAAAGCTGACTACACGGCCCTGGACCTCTGACACGCCCGGTCTGAAGTAGGGTGAAACCTGGGTTCTGTCCGTTTCGGCTCTGTCCGCCCCTCCCCTTGCCCCCTAAATTCTTCGACGCGGTGGGAGCGCCGTTTGCCTTCATAGGCTGAGACTGACATCCCCAAGAAAGGCGCAGCTTTACCCTATTCGCCCTGCCACTCGCCTTTTACTGCTCTGACTTTGCTCGAACCCCAAAGCCTCCTCTGCGAGTTGGATTGATCTCTTGATCCCTGAGATAAATAAAACAGGAAGGGCTGAGAAATCTGTCTTTCTCTACGAAGAGGTAAAAATTCGACAAATACAGTGATTGAAAAGACACCTGGATAAGCCTCAAACCCCTTTGTGATTCTGGGACGAAAATAACCGTGAGGCAGGAAGCACTTAAGCTTAAACAGAATTTTTTGTAAAGACCAAAAGGAAGAAATTATTTAAGTGAGAAAAGATCTTAGGGCTCTAAGTGGTTATCCAGTGATGACCTTCATCTGTTTGAAATTGGTGCGAAGGTTGATTTATTACTAAGGAAATAAGCTGGAAGAGACACACAACTTGAAGTAAAAGTTATTCCTCATAAAGCCAGAATGAAGAATGTCTGTGAGGGTGATCTCAAGTCCCTTCCCTTCCCATTGCAGTAATCACCTATTTAAACTTTGTATTTCACCAAATAAGTCATTTTTATTCCAGACCAGGCAACCAGAACTGTGGTTTCAGGGGATACTGTACTGCTTTTAATTTGGGCTGATATATTTGAAATGTTGTAGTCTGTAATATTTATTCATTGTGACTTTGCTTCTAGAAAGGTAAAGGAAGCTTTTTTTCATTGAAGTATTGACGTTACATTATATCAGTTTCAGGTGTACATGATTCCATAATTGTATTTATTGCAAAATGATCACCACAATAAGTCTAACATCCACGAGCATACATAGTTACAAAAATGTTTTTTCTTGTGATGAAAACTTTTGAGATATACTCTTAGCAACTTTCAAACATGTAATACAGTATTATTCACTATAGTCATGCTGTACATCACATCCCCATGTCTTATTTTATAACTGAAAGTTTATCTTTTGACCTCCTTCACCAATTTCACCCATCCTCCCAACCTTCACCTCTGGCAACCACCATCCTGTTCTCTGTATCTGTAAGCTTAGTTTTAAATTTTTTTAGATTCCACATATAACTGAGATCATCAGTATTTGTCTTTCTCCGACTTATTTCACTTAGCATAATGCCATCAAGGTCCATTCATATTGTCACAAATGGGAAGATTTCATCCTTTTTATGACTCAGTATTCCATTGTGTGTATATCATATTTATCCATCCATCTATGGACACTTCAGGTGTTTCCATATCTTGGCTAATGTAAATAATGCTGCGATGAACATGGGGGTACATATATCTTTTCAAGTTAGTGTTTTTTGTGTTTGTTTTTTGATAAATACCTAGATGTGGAATTGCTGGATCATATGGTAGTTCCATTTTTAATTTTTTGAAGAACCTCCATACTTTTTCCATAGTGGCTGTACCAATTTACATTTCCACCAGCAGTGCATAACGGTTCCCTTTTCTCCACATCCTCACCAACTCTTGGTGTTTCTTATCTTTTTAATGAGCTATTCTAAGGGTGTGAAGTGATAGCTCATTGTGGTTTTGATTTGCACTTGATTAATGATGGTGAGCATCTTCACATGAATCCATTGGCCATCTGTAAGTCTTCTTCGGAAAAAATATCCAGGTTTTCTGCCCATTTTTAAATTGGATTGTTTGGGTTTTTTTTTCCTTCTTTTTTT